TGTGCGGCATGGATTGTCAGCTAAGTCGATCAGGATTAGGTTTCCGCTGAGGAAAACGACCCAATGATGGATCAATTCGATTTCAGGGGTAGCCATATTCGTAGGATTTAGCGAGGATGGAATGCAGGTCTTTTCTAATAAGTACCCCCCGGCCTTGTCACGTGTGGCTGCTGCGCAAATATTAAAGGATCGCAGACGTTCCAACTGTAATAGGTTTGATGTTGTTTGGCCAAACCCACCGAGAGCATCTTCGCTCACGACGCATTTCGGAGGCTCCGGAAAGGGTAATTGTTGCACCATAAACGATGCCTTTGGAGGTGATGATGGGAAGAGATCGTGTTGATGTGGGAGAACGCTGTCGGGGCTCTCCGTGGATGACTCGCGAGGACTGTGGACCTGTATATTTCGACTTGAGTCTTCCGACACAGAGACAGAAAAGACCGAAAACGGCCCTCGCTGAGCGATCGCTCTTCCCGAAGAATGGTCCAGGTCACTCAAAAGCGTTGTTACGGCACATGGGGATAACTCCGGCACAGCCCTAGTCGAAGAGCGCAGTAGTCGACGCTGCGTTGCAGTTCCCGAGGCATTGGTCCATCCCAACCGCACACTGTACCCTTGGCATGTCCGTCCACTGCGATGACACCGTTGACAATTAGGTCGCTGCTCGTCGCACTTTACACGGCGAGATCGACATGTCCAACATCCCGTGAAGGTCTTAGAACGTGGTTTAGGGGTCATGGTGGTCGCACCTTTGTGATAAAATGTGGAATTTCTTCAGGGATCATGGCGGCAATTATAAATAGTCAAGACTCCTGTGGGTCTCCTTTTCCCCACACTCTTGGCAGGGGACCAATCTGGAAAGTTGAGGAGAGAAGAGGCAAAAAAAAAATAAGAGAAAAAAAAGCTAGACGCAGTAAATAGAAAACTTCATTCCCGTGGCGAACTGTATACCATGAGATCACACTTTATACAATCATAAACCAAATCTACTCGCTATGCTCATGACATGAAAAAATCCATGCAGTGCCAGACCTATATACGCGCAGATTTCTTCTTGATACGTGCATTTACTGTTGCTTCTTCGGTTCCGGCTTAACCGCCAATGCACGGATAATGGATGTACCGACATACGCCGATTCCTTCCACCCTTTTTGACGCATCCAGAAACGTTCCGCGGGGTCGGTGCCATGTCGAGACCATGTGCGAGCATCATCCTCGAGTGAGGCCCGCGTGATCTCAGAAACCTCCTGAGATTGGTCCACATACGGCGTGGTTTCTTCATCGGTTTCATCATCACTGCTCCTAGATTGCAGAGTCGACTCGAGGAATCGTTTCCGCAGCAAATAGCGCTCTGCCCGTTCCTGGCGTACATTGGGGGGTTCCATCTTGGCGATAGTGGCTCGCACGGCGTAGCGCACTAGCAGGTAAATGTGCTCGCAGAAAAATATCGTGAGCAACAGTGCCCATCCCTTGATGGATGTTGGTTGTCCGTTCGGTCCTTCATGGCCGTTGCTGAACATGTAGACAAGAGCCGCGCTGGTAATACTTCCGACCCAGGACAAGAACCCTAGACTGTCCAGCCAAGGGCCAATGGTATCTGCACGTTGAGGTGATGGCCGTTTACATTCCATACAGATTTTGAAAAAGTCGGACCGCAGTTCAACCCAATTATTGACCAAGAACGAGACCGGTACCAATGGCCAGACAGGAGAAAACAGCGCCAGGTATCCAAATTGAATGCACATCTCCCGGAGATCATCGGTCACGTCATAGTCTTCCATCTCAGCTTCATTACGTACCCGCTTGAGGAACTGGGCTTCCTCGGGGGCATCCTCAAACGAAACCTCGGGCGCCTTTTTCTCATCCGGGCTGCCCTCCGGCTCCACTTTTCCGGTGCGCTTCTTGTATTCCTTGTATTTCTGGAGGCCGCGCTGCTTCAGCATCGGAACTATCGTTTCCTGGGCGAAATTAACGGCCTGAGCGGTCACTGTGAAGTAGATGACCTGCTTCTTTAGACGACCCGGATCGATGCTGAATTCGGCACGTGTTGTTATCGCATCTTTTTTCGAAACGAATGGACGAACAGTCAAGTGAAAGATATCGAGATACGGCACGATACTATGAGCAAAGGGGACATACACAAACGCTGTCAGGAAAACAGGTAAGTATGAGGTGATGAAATTGATCACAAAAATCTTCTGCGTCAATGCTACATCGTACGCGCCCTGGGTCTCATAGTTCTCGTAGTCATTCAGCCTTGTCGCCACTGACACAAGGACGGTACTCATAGTTGGAATTAAAGCAGAGAGCAAGATGGTAGGTATAAAGACCTGGCAAGTCAGTCGGCAGTACATCAACAATCAATGCATAGGGCTCACCAAGTATGTCTTCAACGGTCCGTTGTATATCTCGGAGATGAATATCTCAATGGCGAAACAGGTCGCAATGATTACACCCAAGGCAACGGTGGCAACAAGTGCAAATGGCACCTGGAGCAGCTGTGTCTGCAACCGCTTCGTTGCGGGATAGACACCTCGAATTTCGCCCGTTGTCTCATCCCGGACTTCCCTTTCAGGTTTGAATTCCCGTCTTTTCTCGCGCAAAACTGAGACACCCTTAGACTGCCATCGGCAGCTGAGATCCTCTTCCTGGTGCTTCCAGTATTCGATGAAAACAATACACCACAAGGCATTTCCTACAGTGTAAATTACCGAGAAAGACCCCAGCAATAGCCAGCATGAGAAGCCAAAAATGGCGGGAAACATGAGAAACCTGAAGTAGGACTGCAAGAACGCGAAGTAGAAGCCAACCTGCGAGGGTTATGTCAGCATAAACGTGAATGTAGGGAAGCACTGCCGCATACACTTTCTCCGAATGTGTTCCGTATCTGGTCAAGGTCTTCGTTGGACAAAAATGTCTTCTTGCTCCAATCTCTCATGCATTGCTTATTGGTCTCTTCGTCGTGAAGCGGGAAGATGGCAATCACGTTCTCCCACTCCCCATGTTTCAGAGTAATTCCAGCGCCACCAGCTTCCCGGGGCACAGTTATCATATGGTGGATGACACGCAAGCGCTCGGATTCCGATTGCGGCTCGGCAGAGGACTCGGGCTCGGTATTGCGGACGCCATAAAGCCAGTCGCGGATACTTTAATGTAAGATCCAGTCAGAAGGGACATACATCACGGAAGGAAACGGCGCGTAATATCCATACCGTGACTGATAAACAGCGCGTTGCAACTTCTTTTTCCTCGAGGCCCGGACAAAGACCAGCACCGACGATTCATCGCCCTCTCTAACTTCCGTCTGCAATCCTACCTCAGAGAGTCGACGGAGCAGCAATTCAAACTGCTGGGACGCTTTATTGACATCTGGGATGGTCAATCTGGCTGTCTCCGGCGGAGCGCGGCGAACATACCTGTATCATAAAAGCTGTAGCGGATGACGTAGTCCACATGGTTGTTGTGAGGCACCTCCTTTTGATGGGGTTGAGAAGCCATTGAGGATAGGTTGTATATCACTACCGTGACATCAAGCGAAGGCGCGCTTGAACTGACCTTCCGGAGAACAATTCCTTCGAGAAATCGCTTGGAGCGAGAAGGGGTTCTTAAGAGGTTCGCGAAACAGCTGGGGGCCCGCGATGACGACGTCACGGCCAAAGCTTGTCGTAGGGTTAACCCTCGGGTTGTGTGGCTGAGTCCAGATTAAGTGCGAGATCGGCGATTAGGTGCTGCACAGCCACTCCATCGATCGAGCCCTACATTGTTTGGTGGCAGCAATTCAAGATTTAAAAAAATGAAATCAGCGACGGGCATAGTTGAATGGCGAGTCCCAGTCCGCATTTCATGCATGGCGATTAAGACATGCATGACCTCACTGCGCATCGTGATGATATCAATCCACAGTCTATGTATGCCAAGACACAGCTGATGCAAATTTGAGCTATAATCCAAATAAAATAGCACTAAACAAAGGCGCCCGGATGGTCTAGTGGTATGATTCTCGCTTTGGGCAATAGCGCCAACCTGCGAGAGGCCCCGCGTTCAAATCGCGGTTCGGGCCTTATTTTTTTGCTCACCTACCACTCTATTCTGTACCAGCAGTGGACACACGAGAGCTCTGGCCATCGCGCACTAACCACAATTGCGGTGGTAGTATCCGAGAGAGCGAGAAGCTTGGCCTCGCGTAGGGAGACAAAGTTAGGGTTGATATCGTCAGTCTCGACCGCTAGCGGTTGAGCCCGAGTAGATCTGGTTTCCCTGGATTCCTAACGCCTGCATCTCATCCTCCATGGCCGCGGACCAGGCAGCACGCTTTTCACGACGGCTGCGCTGTCCTCCGCCCAAGAAGCCTAAGGCTTCGGCACGAGAGGGCCCGTCCAGGCCACGCGATGTTCCATCGTTGGAAACAAACAGGGGCCAGGGCAATTTCAATGCCGACTCTTTTATCAATGGCCCGGAAACTGAGAATCCCTCGATACAAATAAGCTGCCAGGGTGAGATATGCGGAATTGCGGGCGATATTGCGTTACATAGCTTTACATGACATCTGGTTGGGCGCAGCCCGTTAATAATCAATCTATATGTTCGGAAGTAATAGAGCAGCAATCCCATGTCCAACGCTTGTATGATCACGGCGCGTTATCTATCTACAACCTTCGGTGCTAGAATTGTAAATAAAGATATGTGGGCTACCATATTTGGAGGTGATTACCCAGTATCTAGGTCAAAGCTCGATGCTATATATATATATCCTACAACCGGCGAAACATGTTACATGATTCCAGTACTGTGCCATTATTAACTACTCCGAATAGAGAAACTGATTGGATCCTAATCTTCTAGATATATAAATTGATACTGAACTAGATTATACTGGGTATTCAATATAAGCAAGGCCTTGTTATGAGAAATTCCGAAGACATTTATTTGACCGCCGACGAATGAGCTTTACACTGTTTTTACGTGTTTTCATTTAATATAGGAGAGATTTACCTCACCAAGCCCGGATGGTCTAGTGGTATGATTCTCGCTTGTAAGTCGGCCTTATCAACGCCTTATCATCAGTCCTTCGATACTAATAAATCATTACAGTGGGCTGTACAGTACCAATCTGCGAGAGGTCCCGCGTTCAAACCGCGGTTCGGGCCTATTCTTTTTTTCCCTTTCACCTTCTCCGAACCCCACCTGTACTTTTTTTTATTGTACTACTCTTTTCATTAGCTTTGTATCTGTGATGCATATCTTCAGATGTTCTGATGGTTCCATTTTTTAGTTGTACAATTACGTTGTATCACTTCAACGACAGTACTTGATTCTTGAGAGGCCGTTCAACCTCAGCCTACGTAATTAACGCTGTTTAGTACAGAGTAGTCGTGCCCTAATATCGAATTCAGTGATTTCTTTAAATGTGTTGTAAGCTCTGTAGGAATTCAATGTCTCATTAGTATTACTTAAGCTATACACCCAACCGATAGTTTGGTTTAGTAAAATTAACTACCCAGTGCAGCAGGAGAGTTATCCACCACTCCGACACCAGCTTCGACGTCGTCCTTCTTCGGAGTCATGCTGCTCACTTCCGACCTTGAATGACCGAAACGCTTGATCCCAGTGACCGTCATCGAGTCGGTTTGGAGCAAGTACATGTACCAGTAGTACACACCTGACCCTTATTAGCACGAGTTGCTCAATCCCGAAATAGACAGATCTACTTACCGCAGAATAAACCTCCACCCAAGATATTACCGATCAAAGTCGGAATGATTCCTTTCCAGATATACAAACCAACCGTGATCTTGTCAGCTCCAACCCAGATAGCCAGCGGGATAAAAGTCATGTTGGCGACGACGTGATCGAACCCGAGAGATACGAACGCGAAGATCGGCCACCAGATACCGATGATCTTGGAGGTGAGATCACGGCCCTGGATGCCGAAAAAGCAGGCCAGACAGACGAGCCAGTTGCATCCGATGCCGCGGAGGAAGATCATGTGGAAATCGGGGGTGACTTGCTTTTTCGTGGCGAATGCGATCACTTGAGATTTGAAAGGATCGGCGGAGAAGACGTTGCCATCTATTTCTTTGTTAGTGGTGTTGCCCATTGGGGGCTATGGAGATGGTGAGGCGATGGGACTTACATCCGAATATGATGGCAACGACGAAGAGTGACCCAGCCAGGTTACCAAAGAATGTGACAACCCAGTGAATCAGCATCTTATACCACGGCAATCGCCGTTGGAGAGCAGCGACAGTGGTGAACTGGGATTCATTTAGTGGCCCATTCCACATACAGAGAAGGCCGGAAGTCTTACCATGAAAGATCCAGTGCAGAGGTCGGCCCCCGTTAAGATAATCATACATAAGCCGTAAGGGAAGACTAAGGCGCTGATCGTGCGGATGAGCCCCGGGGCGTTTTCCTGGAACCAGGGCGTTGTGTTGGTGCTGAGGACAGTTCCACAGGCGAAGGCAAGCAGACACCCAGCCGACACTGCACTAAAGAAGACTTTATCGAGGCGCATATTGCCCTTGGAAACTCCAGCACGACCGACGAATTCGATCACCTCGGCCGGTGTGAAGGCATCTAGGCTGATTTGCGACATGTTGCTTAGGTGACAGGTCTCTGGATCTAGACGGATTACACAATGACGGCTCCAGAGGAGCTCGTAGTGCAGATGCAGGGACGTTTAACGAAGAAATAGACGATGATGCTTGGCGACACCAGCCGGTTAGGACATGATGTCCAGATATAACTATCAAGACATCTGCCCGGAGTCAGAGAGAGTTGAGAGACCACGGTGATCGACTGCAATATCGATGATCATAACAAAGTTAAAATGGTGCTTATCGAGCGACCGTCACTAGGAAACGACAGCGGGTCCACTTTCGCATGCAAATTATTGAAGACCCGTGCATATTCGCCGGCATCTCAATGCAAGAGGGTCCGCCGATCGAGAGATAAGAGTTGAGATAGGGAACCCTAAGTGCCTCGGGGCGAACCAGATCGAGTCCACTTATCAGCCCAGTGATAAGGAATGTGACACCTTCTCCGCGGGCCCCATCGCTCTTCATGATAAGGGTCCTTGAACAATGTTAGTATTGACAAATCTTACTGGATCGAGAGGACAGGACCATTCCATTGGGACCGACCCTATGGGGAAAGGCCCACTATACTGCAGACCAGGCCTTGAGGGCTCTACTACCTTCGCACTGGGTATGATAGGACCCCTAACTATGAAAAAGAACTCCAGACCAAACTCGACCTGCGGTTTGAATGACACCTGGGTCCTTAAGCGCTTTTTCAACCCTCGGGTACTGCAATTTATCTCGCGTGCATCATGGTATAGGTCCTTGTTTGGCCCCACCGAGCGATATTTCGCTTTGCATCCTGATTGAAGAAGTCATTGATCCTCTCGGCCTGCCGTTCGGAGTGAAGGATAAACTCGTACTGCGATCGCATGGTCGCAACGAAGCAATTTAAGCGCAACATCTATAGGACCATCCGAGAAAGATCGGGATGAACCACAGTCTTCATCTGCGCGCGGGCTAGTAGACCATGCATCCATATGAGTCTGTAAGCCCTTTGCTGTCGATGGTGTTGACAGTACCCACTGGAACACCTCAATTCAAAGCAAAACTCCCAAGACTAGTAGCTTTGCTGCATGATAAGCACCCGCAGAGTTACAATGTGGAAGAACCCTTACTTTCTAAGAAGAAAAAGGTGAATAGTTGAGAAAATCGAGAGAAAAGTGAAGAGAATAGGAGACTCATTATGGGCCGTCACTTGAATACATCATTATACCCTAACTAGCACAATATTTACAACATCTCCTCTTGCCTCGTCTCAGCTGGTCATCTGCCAAAGGGATGAGATCGCCATTCGTGATTCAACCCCTGCTCCTTCAGTTGAACTATTTCCCTGACTTCACAGCTCAGCCCCGCTTCAACAAAAGTACTACACTGCACGCAATTGATCCGATGACTACCCATACAGACAGTCAGTGGCCCATAGCCTACAGAATAAGTAGTTTGGCGAATGTCTTGCATAATTAGTCCATTGCATAGCATTCTAGGGTATTCGGTCCGCCGGCGGGAATTGCGGGCGTAAGGTATGTTTAAGAAATCTTGAATCATGCAGCATCACTAACCGTATAATCAAAAGTGGGAGCATTACTTTTCCTCTCGTAATAAGATCGGTTTGTCCGCATGACATGACTGATCCCGGCAAACTTATGCATAACATGACATCTCAACCGTGGAATCGATCGCTTTCGCTTCGTTCCGATTTGACGAACCCAACGCCGCACCTGTGGTATTATGGGAGGCAATTCTATATCATAGAGGATGTCCTAGGAACTGCAGATCTCCTCGGAGTTCGAGTATTTGGTGGCTTGTGGCTTGTGTATATAATAGCTATGGTTAGTTCACTGTTCTTCACTATCTCTTTTGTCTTGAATAATGACTGTTTCAGTATATTGTAAATACCATAACTGTGAATAGCTCTCACGATGAATAATGCGTTCAGCTCCTTATACCGTACCAAGAGTCGCTATGCGATAGTGACTACGATTCGAGGAGCTAGACGGCTTCCGCCTAGACTGCTCTCCAGCCCATGTTCTCCCCTACGGGGTCCGCTCTTTGCGAGACAGATCTCAACCGAATCTAGGAAAGGCACGAGCGGTCCTCGAGTCAAATACGCCCTGCTTCTCTCCACCGCCGCCACACTCAGCTGGCTCCTCTATGCTCAGCAACATGGCGCTGTCTGGCTCGACAGTGACAAGAGAAACTTCACCCACCCGGATCCCTTAGCTCCCAACAATGGAATTCACCAACAGAAGACGACCAACGAAATTCAAGCTTCACAAAAAGAGACGCTCAAATCCCTAGAAGCTGAGGACCTCCCAACTGAAAAAGCAATTCTCACCACTGCCCCCAACGTCCCCCCACCGATAACACGAGACTACCCAGTCATCCTAGACGTAGACCTGACAGCCGTCACAAAACTGGAACAACTAACAAACCAATACAAATACGAGAAATGGACATTCAACAACAGCGTTCCCGGCCCATTTATCCGCGCGCGGGTCGGCGACATACTCAATCTGAAAATAACAAACCACGATGAATCCGGCATGCCACACAACATAGACTGTCATGCCTTTCTGGGCCCAGGGGGTGGCTCGGCTCTAACCACAGTCAACGAAGGCGAGACCAAGACAGCACGGTTCAGGCTCCAGAACCCTGGTCTATACATCTACCACTGTGCCGTAGGCCCAGTGGGCGTGCACATCGCCAACGGCATGTATGGACTCCTATACGTACAACCAGAGCAAGACCTACCCCCGGTCGACAAGGAGTACTACGTAATGCAAAGCGAGTTCTACCACGAGCCGCCCGAGCCAGACGACAACGGCCAGATGTCATCGACGGTCGAGTTCTCGTGGCCACATGCGCTCCGCGAAGCAGCCGACGTGGTGGTCTTTAATGGCAGCGAGGCGGCCCTCACGGAGAAGCCGCTCAAAGCTACCCTTGATGATACCGTTCGCATCTTCTTCGGGAATGGGGGCCCGAACCTAACCAGCTCGTTCCATGTTATCGGGAGCTGTTTTAATAAGGTCTATCGCGATTCGGATGTGCTAAGTCCGCCGGGCCAGTGTGTTCAGACGGTTAGTGTGCCCCCCGGTGGGTCGACTATCGTGGATATGAAGATGGTCGTTCCCGGGACTTATACCATTGTGGATCATGCTATTTTTCGGCTGGAGAAGGGTGCGAAGGGGTTTTTGAATGTTTCTGGGGAGCCTAGGCCGATGCTGTATTATAGTACGCTGCCACCGCAGCCCTGTGAGGGGTGTAAGCTTCACCCATGATTTGGCGTGTAGTTATTTTGGAATGCATCATAGTCAATCTCAAGTATTAATGTTTGCCAAATGGAGGACAACGATTTGTGAACTTATAGAACGATATTAGTTAGCTAGGGGCATGATATGCGTTAGCAAGTTCGCAAGAATGGGATCGCGCAATTTCGCATTATCGTTCAAGCGGGCCACTACGCAGCCAGTACAATGCTATAGATGATCAAGTAAAGCAGATACAGAACGCAAAGAACCCTCCACATGCCTTTCCCTTGTTGCAATGAATGAGAATCGGATTATTGG